CCTGTCTAACATACCGTAAAAGAGATTTATACCCCTATAATAAACACAGCTATCATCACACACCCCTCCCCACGCCCCCCCCCCCATTTGCCAGTGAGGAGCCGTGGAGGTGGTCAGTAATGCATACCGGTATCGGTATATTTACTCATAATAATATTTATCTCCTATAAATAATTGATTTAAATTTTATTTTTTTCCAAAGAATATTCAGTAAATGAGTGCATTAATTCTTGAAACTATCGACGGTTAATTACAGACGCTCAAGTGACGTCACTAGTGTTTACACTACACCAGCTGGTAATATTTGATGCCATTACTTGAAGTGAATTGGCCTTATTTTAAGTAACTAACTATAAATAAATACAAAAATTAAAAAAAAAGATCAAAACTGAGAAATAATATACTGTATGTATGTTGTGTTGTCAAAGTAAGAGGAACAATTGTGTAAGTACGTAATATTTTTTCACTCAAATCCTAATGAAACACTACTGGAGAACATTCCTTTGTCGCAAAACAGTTTATAAATTAAAGAAAATAATTACAGTGTGTTTAATATATTACAGTATATTATAAATAAATAAATAAAACAAATAATTCGGTAAATCTATTTAAAGTAAATGGAAAATAAGCAAACATGTTATTTACCAAGACCCTTCCGTCTGGCTCAGGGTGAGATGGAGGGGAGATAACAAAGCTATTTATAGCCCATCAGAAGTGACCAGTACCCTAATGCACCATAAATAATTCATTGAACATTCATTTTTTGTACATAGTATATATATATATATATATATATATATATATATATATATATATATATATATATATATATATATATATATATATATATATATATATATATATATATATATATATATATATATATATATATATATATATATATATATATTTGTGTAATAAATGTATGTAGTAAGTACATACTGGTAACCTTTTTCACTCAAATCCTAATGAAACACCACAATTAGAATACGGTGGTTGCTGTTGAACCACATGTTGTATAAATAGTCACACCACCGAGACGAGGGAACACTCCCACCACGCTTCAGTGACGTCACTAGTGTTTACACTACACCAGCGGGTATAATTTGATGACATTACTTGAAGTGAATTGGCCTTATTTTAAAAAATCAAGGATGGTTGGTAAAGGACTACTGAGTCAGTGGGTAAGTGTCACATTTGGGGTACTGGTCTTATACAGCAAATAGAGCTCAAAAGCTACTTTTTAAATGGAAATTTGGGGGGGGCGTCTTATGCACCCCGCCGCCTTATAGGCCGTGATATACGGTACTGATCTTTTTAAAAAATATATTTCTTTGTTTCTTTAATATTATTATTATTATTATTATTATTATTATTATTATTATTATCAGTGTTGTTATTATTATTGTTATGATTATTTAATTTTTTATTTTTTATTATAAATTTTATTTACTATGAACTAATTATTATTACTGTATTATCGTTATTTTTATTACATTATCGCCCCCAGGCCCCGATGTGGGTCAGTGACCTGTGCCCAGGTAGGCTAATCCCCGTGTAAAAAAAAAAAAATAAATAAAAAAAAAAATAAAAATAATAATAATAATAATAATAATAATAATAAACACAGTTTGCACTAGATAAAATTTTTAGTCTTTTAGTGTAGTAAATTTGAGTACGAAGTGAGTACAGTCGGCCCTTCACATACGCGGGTTTAGTATACACGGATTCGCAAATACGCGGATTGCCCTGCCGGGGGAATATTCTGTACATTGAAGTAATTGAAGTACATTCAAAACGCGCGCGGCACCGCGCACTGCCTGCCACCCCCCACACACACACACGCGTCACGCCACCCCGCGCTCCCTCACTCAGTCAGTCTCGCTGTAACCACGCTTGTGTTGACATCAGCATTGTAGGTCGACCCTCATTTTTTTGACCAAAAAATTAGTTAATTTATGATATTCCTTGTTTATAGGTCGACCCAAGTTTTTGAGGGTATTGGTACAACAAAACCTTCAGTAAAAACACTCTACGTCCTATAAACTGAGGCTCGCTGTGCCTGAAACACCGAGTGCCAAAGGGAAATTGTTTACCATTTATTATTACGACACTTTACACTGAAGCCCGTGTAGTTTCAACAAAAATATTGTATATTTCCATTCAAGTATTTATTCAAGTCAATTCGGAGGGAATATTATTGTAATGCAACAGTTTTTTAACTGAAAACCAGTACTGTACACTAGTGCAACAATTTTTATCTCTTGAGCAAAATATATGACGTTTATATTCAAATTATTGGCTGTCGTGCAAGGATTCCAGCAACGCAAATTATAATCTCCTAACTTTAGTCTGAGATATTATACAAGATAAAAACTATAAGCCTAAATAAAACCCCGGCTGTGCAGATTAGGGAGGGAGGGACGGAGCCAGCCAGCCAGCGAGGGGTGGGGGTTGGGTGGGTTGAGGTGATATGTTTGACAGTTTGAGCCGAAGGTCTGTGTGTTTATTTAACAGTCCTACTACGCTTCTCCCATTTTAAAATGCCACTGAAATGACCTGGGAGAATATAATTAACATTGCTGGGATTCTTGTAAGACACTGATTAATTTGAATAGCAACATGCTCTAATTTGCACTAGACATAACAATTTTAGTACTGTAATGAAATTAGTACATGTACACTCCAGCTTTGCACTAAGGTCATTTATTTCTTTTAGTACGGTGTGTGCATGTAAATGGATGAAAATAAATGAAGAAATTTATGTAAATCTACCCAAAAATACAGTTGAAAACTTTATACTGTATTATAAAATGTACTTCACAGTATTGTACACTAATGTACTACATTTTTATATCTTGAGCAAAATATATGACGTTTATATTCAAATTATTGGCTGTCTTGCAAGGATTCCAGCAATGCAAATTATAATCTCCTAACTTTAGTCTGAGATATTATATAAAATAAACACCTTAAAGAATAAAGTTATCACCAATCTTTTGTCTGGGAACACAAGGAGGGAGGTAGCCAGCGAGCACTGGGGGGGGGGTGAGGTGACAGAGTGTCTGGTGTTTGTTTATTTATTTGAGATAAGATGTGACAGCTGGCGCTGAAGGCCTACGTGTTTATTTATCATTACTTAAGAGTGATTAAGCTCTTCTCATAATTTGCCACCGAAACGACCTGGGTGAATATAACTTACATTGCTGGAATTCTTGTAAGATAGTGATTTATTTGAATACCTGTATAAACAATCTATATTTGCAATAGACATAATTTAAGTACCGTAATCATTTAGTACATGTACAGTACAGGTTTGTTCCACGGTAAAATCTGTTGAACAACGAAAGAAAGCGAAAGTCATTGTTTTTGTCATAATTTTATCCCACTTTCCACTGTAATATGTACGTCATTTCTGCAAAAATTACATTTCCATATTTATTTCCGAGAATATATTCATTCAGTCACAGTTAAGGTAAAATATACTTGTGATGTAACGTTTTAATGAAAATACCCGGTATTTAGACATACGGTATCGTAGTTTTCTTTTGTTTCAAATTTAATTAACAAAAATTGATGTTTCAAACATAATGAAAAAAAATTTATGTACAGTATTTCTATAAATAAACTTTAAAAAAAGAATACTTTATGTTTTACATCGTCCTGTGCATACCATACCATGCATTTGGCTACTTTGGGCTTGCTATGATGACGCAAGAGATCTGCCCTGGCAACTGTACTGACACTCACAGCTGGTGGTGCGTTGGTGCATCGTTTCCATTGTTTACTGGTAGTTACTGGTAAATATTTTTCAACCTAACAAAACTATTACCTGTTTAGAAGTCTACCCGCAATTTTTTGCCAAATAATTTGGTCTTAAAAACTCGAACTACACACAAGTATATACGGTAAATAAGGACATGGGGGGCCAGGGGTTTTTTAGGGGGGGGGAGGGCAGCAAAAGTACACGGATTTTTAACATTCACGGGTATCTCTGTTACCTAACCCCAGTGAATGTTAAGGGCGAACTGTACAGTAGTATGTTGCTCAAAATTATGGTTTTTTCACAGGAAAAAGTCTGGAGTATAACTAAACCCAGTGGTCACTGTGCTATAACGAATCTAATTGGTTCTAGAACCTTGTTCGTTATAGCATTCGTTCGTTATAGGATTAATCCGTTCCAGGCCCCCAAATACAACCACTTAACACTGAAAAATATAATATAAAATTGTAAAAATTTTAAAAAAGTGCATAAATATGCATCTAAACCCCTGAAATAAAGAATATCATTAATACTTGTATTACAAAAACAATAAATTATTAAAAAAAAAAAAAAAAATTTTAAATAATGTTCGTTGTAGGAGTTTCGTTCGTTATAGCATTCTCAATTTTATAGGTAAAACCGTTCGTTATAGGAATATTCGTAGTAGGATCCGTTCGTTATAGCATACCCCACTGTAGCAACAATCAGACTTGAAATTCCCAACCCAACAAAGTCAGGTTGTTCCAGTTTATTTTCATGAAGGTGCTCCCCCTGAGTTTGCACTCCTATATTAACAAGTGGAAGCAGTAACCTGTAAAATTCTCACCCAGTACCCCCTGTACAAGCAGCACACCAATCCAATTATATGCAGTAGACCAGGGGAAAGACATAGCTCTGGTTCCTATTACAAACAGTTTAATTTAAAGCAACTTTACCATAGAACACCCAGTTCCCACTCTGAAAAACTGGGTCGGCAATAAGAAGGGCACTTAGCCTTAAAACGTGCTACAAGTTACCTGAAGGTAACTGGGCACCATGCAATACAGTAATAATGGCTATCTTATACAAGTGTGGAAAATACCTGTAAAATGACGGTGATGAAGAAATTCGTAGTTTTTAAATGAAAAAAAATATTCCTGCCAGCTGATTACAAAATATTTATAAATTCTTTATTAAAACCTAAAACAAACATCATTAACTTTTGACAAATAACCAAAGAAGGTTTTGTTTTCCTTACCATCAGAACAGGTGAACTGATCAAGCAACTTCACTCCTGTGGGACAAGCACATGAGTAGTTATGGGGAGTTGGAGCTGCCAGACAAAGGTGACTACATCCTCCATTATTGTGCTGGCAGGGGGTGTCCAGGTGTAGCTGTCGTAGCGGGTCAAACACATGAATGTACATAGGGGAGAGGTTCGTCCCTAACTGTTGCTGCTTCTCACAACTTCTCTGTTATAAGGGAGAAAAGTTTTTTAAAATATTACACTTTTTACATTTAGCTATTACATGGACACATATATAAGTCGGAATTTGGGATAACTCAGCAAGGCCAAAGCCCCATAGGTGCTAGTTATCGAGGGTTTACTGTGCTCCGTAACATTCGATACCATAATATCCTGACCACTGGGGTTAGTTATAGACTTATCCCTGTGAAAAAGCCATAATTTGGAATATCATATTACTGTACTCATCTTGTACTCAATGTACTATGCAAAAGGACTAAACATTTTCTCTTGTGCAAACTATGACATGTTTATACTCAAATTAATCACTATCTTGCAAGGATTCCAGCAATGCAAGTTATATTCTTTAGTCAAGTCTGACATTTTATAAGAGAAAACTAAGCCTAGAACAAAATTCATCCCATCAATTCTTATCACTGCCATCTGACCCCTGCTGGCTGGGAGGAGGGGGTGAGGTGGAGTGTTGACAGTCAGGAGGGGAGACTCACGTGTACTCAAGGATTATGAAAGGGAGCGAGTTTTAGTTTTTTGTTTGTAAAATGTTATTAACTTGATTTAGCAGAATATAACTTGCATTGCTGAAATTCTTGCAAGCCAGTGTTTAATTTGAGTATAAACATCCCATAGTTTGAACTAGAAATAAAAACTTTTGTAATTAACTTAGCACATTTGAGTACAGGTTGTGATAATTTATGCAGTTGCTCAACAGTTGTGGTTGCAGATGTGAAGCTTCATGACATCACTCGTGTATAATGCGTCTCCATATGCCCTGATATATTCAATTATCAGTTGTCTAAGTGCAAAAGTAGCCAAGTCAAGCCATCATGTATCAATTGATTTCAAAATAGAAGTTATAAAATAAAATGTTATAAGACAATGGTTTAGTAGTGCTGTTAATGTGTGTGCTGTGTAAGTGTCTTGGCATGTCACCTCACCACCTGAACATTCATCAACTTCTTCAAATCCTACAATGTGCTTGGCAAGCTCAACAATATTTCCTTGAATGTTTGGCACGCGTGTGCACGCACACACACACACACAATTTCTGCCTCCGCCGTGTAACAAGGATGGCTGGCCCTAGGGCCACCTAGGTGCAAATTTGTTTAATGGGAGAGTCCATTTTTTGGTGAAAGTGCTTTTAATTTTGGTCGATTGTTATGATATTCCTGTCATCAATCAAGGACCATATGTATATCAATTCTAGCCCCATAACCCCCTTCTACCCTTTCAAAATTTTCAACCCTTTACACATTTTCTCATATTTGCCTAAATTTTCAAGGTATAATATCTCCATTACTTCTTTCTATTTTGCCTTGGAATTGATAGTCCTAAGAGATCTAGTATTGTCATTGAATATTACAGGGCAATATGTTTGTCTTTATGAATAAAAAAATTTCAAGTTCGGTTAAAAAAATTTCAAAATATCGATTAAATATTCAACCAAAAATAAATATTACAAGATATGAAAAATTGGACTCTGGAGTTATATTGAGGAAAGGTTCTTCCTGTGCTGAGTGTTTGTTTCATTGAAATCGGTCAAAAACTGGCAAAGAAATTCCAATCTGAGTGTTGGAAAATTAAATTTTGTATATAAAGGCTGATAAAGTTTCTCAACCTTTCTCCCCTGATTTTACATGTAATATTATATTTTTTTTTTTATCTCCAACTGAATCCAGTTACAGTATATTCTTTACATGAGGTAGAGGGGAGGGGTGGAAGGCTGGGCTGCCTCAGGTGTCCCCTGAGACGGCTGTTACCATCGTTAGTTTTAGCGGATATTTTTCTTTCATCCTCTTGGATTTAGCAGTCCTCCCGGCATTTGCTTCCTTTTGTTGTCTTTTATGTTTTGAATCACAAGCCATCCTGATATTTGAGGAAAGAAGCCTGGTACAGCGGTACATGTGAGGTAAGATGTGCGGTGCCTCAGAGTATTATACACACCTCTCCTTGACAAGGTCCGGGACCTTCTGATGACGCTGTTTGTCTGCCCCTCCCTATGCTCGCCAGAGACGAAGAGAGTTGCCTGAAATAAATTTCTAAAGCCTTTTTTGTGGTATTTATTCTATATTTTGGGGGAAAAATATTTTACCACGATCATTCATATGTCTACCCAAGGGGACATAGGAAAGTTGAGGGCAGAGAGGAGGGGGAACCATACATAACTGCATAAATATTACGAATATTGCCATAAAACTCCATCCAGATCCAGTCACAGGCAACAACTTTGCTCAGAATTTTTTTCATATTTTTTTTCAGCGATCTTAGCTGGACGCTCCCCTTGAGATGTAGAAGCTGTTGCCAACACAAAAACCTCACCCTAAGTTAACAAGCTGTATGACCCAGTGTTAAGGAATAATCCGAGAAGACCGGACAACTTGCCAACTGCACTGGCTAACCATTACCCTAGTAGAGGCAAATGACGTAAAGAAACTTGCCCATAGTTTTACCCTGCCTGGGGATCGAACATAGGCCAGCTTGCTTGCGAGGCGAGCATGTTGACCATCTCTCACGCATGCACTGCACGTCATATTCTGCTAGGTTTAGTCTGTTTAAGCCTAAAACCACCTTCACCCTGACTGGGAGGAGGTGGGAAGTCTGAGGGGGAGGTGAGGTGTTGACAAAGCTGGCGGCAAAGGTTACCTAGTGGTATTTATGTCATATAGAGGAAGTTTAAGTTTTTTGCTTATAAAATGTCACTGAATTGACTTGGCAGAATATAACTTACATTGCTGGAACTCTTGTAAGATAGTAATTAATTTGAGTATAAACATGATATAGTTTGCACTAGGCTTTAAAGTTTTAGCAATTATTTAGTACATTTGAGTACAGTACAGGTTTGCCCTTAAGACAATTATTTCTTTTACTTTTTTACAATATGTATTTTGGATGTTGTGTACATGTAAATGAGTGAAAATAAATGAGAAAATTATGTATATCTACCCAAAAATATGAATTGAAAACCTTGTACTTAAATGTACTACACTAAAGGACTAAAATTTTTATCTCTTGTGCAAACTCTGTGATGTTTATACTCAAATTATTCACTATCTTGCAAGGATTCAGCAATGTAAGTTATATTCTGCTAAGTAGAGTCTATGAGTACCTTGGCCCCGTTTCCGAAATCCGGATTTACAGGTCCGAATCTTCGAGGGTTCAATGCATTACTGCAAGCATGTGCACGCGTGTGCATACACACACACACAGTGATATCCCCATCAGCCGGAACAATTGGTGCAGAGCACTTCCAGAGATGAGAGATATCCGGCTAACCAGACGACTTTCTCAAACCCGAAAAAATTCCTTATCCCAGGAATCGTTTCCGGTTACTGGGAAAAGTGTCTAAACTATGCATCTTCCACAGACAGACACTAGCCCACTTCCCCATAATGTTTCTGGGTGCTGGGGATGTTTTCCTCGAGTCTAAACTACCGGAGTCTGTAAATGCAGCTCTAATTAAGTTAGAAACTCCATTTTTTTACTATAATAATCTTGAATTGTGAATCTGAAAGTTTGGTTAAAAAGATATTGAAAAATTAGAAATCTACAGGGGGTATACAGTATGATAAAGGTATGAATGAAGCTGTGTGTTACAGCAAAGACTGTTATTTTCCACTCCCATGGAGCTGTGGGGGATTACTGGGTCTCATGTAACTTACCTGACCTGACCTGACCTGATGCAATGTCAGGCAGAGGTAGGGTGGAGGATTAGTGGTCTCATATTACTGACCTTCTTGGGTCGGGGATTAGTGGGTCTCATGACCGAAGATATTTTGAATAAATATGAAACCTAAAGTATTTTTAGGGAGATAAGTATAAATGAGCAAAGTTTTATCCTTTCAACATTACATTACATTTTAAAATATGGAGTGAGAAAGCAGAAAGGTGTGGGTGATTAGAGAGATGGAGTGGAAAGGAGTGTTGCTAAGCACTCCTCAACAGCTGATATTTAACTCACTAACACGCAGTCAAATGCAAATTTGTCATACAATAAGACCCTCACTCCTCATGCTTTTTCTTAATTCCTCTGGGGGTGGGTGGGTGGGTGGGTGGGTGTGGGTGGGTGGGTGTGTGGGTGTGGGTGGTGTGGGTGTGGTGTGTGTGTGTGTGTGTGTGTGTGTGTGTGTGTGTGTGTGTGTGTGTGTGTGTGTGTGTGTGTGTGTGTGTGTGTGTGTGGGTGTGTGTGTGTGTGTGTGTGTGTGTGGGTGTGTGTGTGTGTGTGGGTGTGTGTGTGGGTGTGTGTGTGTGTGTGTGTGTGTGTGTGTGTGTGTGTGTGGTGTGTGTGTGTGTGTGTGTGGGTGTGTGGGTGGGGGTGTGTGTGTGTGTGTGGGTGGGTGTGTGTGGGGTGGTGTGTGTGTGGGTGGGTGTGTGTGTGGGTGGGTGTGTGTGTGTGTGTGTGTGTGTGGGTGTGTGTGTGGGTGGGTGTGTGTGTGTGTGTGGGTGTGTGTGGGTGTGGGTGTGTGTGTGGTGTGTGTGTGTGTGTGGGTGTGTGTGTGGGTGTGTGTGTGTGTGTGTGGGTGTGTGTGAGATAATAAAAATAATTAACAGTTTATTGAGATAACATGGCAGCCCGAAGGCTGAAAATATACAATGAACAGAGACGATAAGTTATATATGGTGAAATTGAGGAGTGGGTCACTTGACTAACAAAAGCTTTCAATACAAAAACATAAGAAACAGAGTCAACATATAGATTAACTATAAATTTGGTACTGTGGGAGCTGGTCTTGTAAACAGTCTTGTGACCTCACCGGATGGCCGTTGCGTTATACCTGGCCGCTAATCCGCTACCTCACTCCAGCTGCACCACGTGGTCAGGGTAGGTCCTTCAGCTCACACAGGGTGTTGGAGATGGTTCTTGTTCCTTATGTGATGTAGTTAGGAATTCATAGTTCCTCGCCTGGGAGGAGTAGGGAGTCCTCATTTCTCTCCTGATGTAGTTTGGAGTCTTTCTTAGCTTCTCATCCAGTGTTGGTGAATGTACCGCGGACTGGGTGTCTTAGATCTGCATTAGGTCAACATTCACTGCTAAGCACTGTCACTCTAACAGCGGTTTCTTTCTTTCGAGTTGAAGTTCTCATTTTTGTATATCACTTGTGGGTTAATCATCAATCTTTGCACTGTACTGTTGTGGGAGGATGTTGATAAATCCATATGGGGAGGAGGCGATGAGGAAAGGGAAGGGCCTGACAAACCAGGCTGGCAGCTGTCCCAATGGTCAAGAGACCACGGGCAGCGCCGATGTCCTCACCCAGTGTGTGTGTGCGCACACATACACAGTACAAGTAAAAGAAATAAATGTACTAACCCCTCCCCCCAGGTCAGCAAATGATATTCACGAATCTGGCAATTCACGGCCATTTGGAGACCCAAACCCCGTGAATTTTAAAGGGCATGCTGTACTTGTAAAACAATGTCAGTTATATATATATATATATATATATATATATATATATATATATATATATATATATATATATATATATATATATATATATATATATATATATATATATATATATATATATATATATATATATACATATACATATACATATATATATATACATATACATATACATATACATATATATACATATACATATACATACACATAGATATACATATATACATATACATACATATATACATATATATATATATATATATATATATATATATATATATATATATATATATATATATATATATATATATATATATATATATATATATATATATATATATATATATATATATATATATATATATATATATATATATATATATATATATATATATATATATATATATATATATATATATATATATATTCCACTTATAATACTTGTACAAACATTAACAAATTTACTTGTAATACTAACCCTGTGGCCAACGTCGCAGAAGTGTATGGCTCTTGTTTCCCAGTCAGTCCAATATAACGTGTGGTTAAAATACGTTAAAGCAAAAGGATGAGGTAATTTACCCTTGACCACCTGCAAATAAACAAAACAATAGTTTACTTCAAAAATATATTCCAAAATTCAAGACACAACAAGAAAAAATAAAAGTGATGAAGGTGCTTTCCACCCTATACAGTATTCCTTTTTTTTGTCATCATCTTTGACATCGTCAATCCAGCATAATCCATAAAAAATATTACATGGTTGACAATACTCTCATGCAACCATCAACATCAGTGTGAGAAACTCCTGAAATTCAGTGCAAACCTCTCCCCATATTCATTATGGATAACTAATGCATGGACTAGTTCAAATGCCACTTAATCATATCCTCTCACAATTTAGTATCCTTAGTCAAAACTGCGAAGACCAATAGACTTTAAGTATGAAACCCCATTTCATAGCCAAGACAAAGAAAAGTGACATAGAAAACCACCTGCCAGAATATCTACTACCAGACCTTGCTTTGTCTAGGAGGTAATCTGTATTCTTGAAGCTGGTCCATTGAAATACTGTAGTTACAAACTATATAAGCACCTATTCACTCAGTCAAATTAATGTGATTAGTTACTTTAAAAACCAGTAACTCAACAGGTGCACCTGGACAAACCCTATCATCAGGGATGCAGCATGCAGAAAAATATGTCAACCATACAGGAAAGAGAAGCAAATTCATTTTATGCTTTAATTGTTGTAAAATGTATACGGTATTGTAGTTTTCTTTTGTTTCAAATTTAATTAACAAAGATTGATGTTTCAAATTTAATGAACAAAAATTTATGTATCTATAAATAAACTTTTAAAAATGAATACTTTACGTTTTACATTGTCCTGTGCTACCATACCATGCATTTGGCTACTTTGGGCTTGCTATGATGACGCAAGAGATCTGCCCTGGCAACTGTACCGACACTCACAGCTGGTGGTGCGTCGTTTCCATTGTTTACTGGCAGTTAGGGGTAAATATTTTTCAACCTAACAAAACTATTACCCGTTTAGAGGTCGACCCCCAATTTTTTGCCCAAAAATTTGGTCTTAAAACCTCGAACTAAACACGGGCATATACGGCACATTATTTTGAGTACATGTACAGTACAGCTTTGTCCTTTGGACAGTGTAGCATGACCCAGAGAAACATTAGGCGCAAAATTTTTAATATGATGCGCCAGATTGACTCGCACAAAATAGGAAAGATTCACTTTAAATTAAAACGCGACATTATACAAAACAACGTTAAGAGGATCAATTTTCCCCAAAAGAAATAGATAAAATACAGGAGTTAAGTTCCTGAGCCTCCCTTTGCCCCATGAAATACATTACATATACAGAATATCATTGCCATTTCTGTAGAAAATATTGCATACAACTTAAACCACATGCGGTAGTAGGCAGCTATCAAACAGGGAGGTACTACTACCTGGGAAGATATTGGAAGTCATAATGTACAGGTATTGTGTAAAGGAAGACCGTGCTGCCATATGGCATGACGAAAATTGTGACCAAGTCCCAGGTTGCTGATCTGACTTTCTGCCTCATTTACACACAATTGCAGGGTCTCAATTGTTTCTCATACTTTGACAACACAACATACATATATCAGCGTCATGGTCACATTTGTGTGGTTAGTCCGTTCAACGCTTAAGTATTCATATTATGCTACATCGCCCACAAAACATATGTACTTTTGAGTCCCCCAGTAGAGCCGTCCGTTCTCTAATCACTACAGTATGTCTTCGTCCTCCGTTTTCCTTTTGTGTATTCTATCAGGGACTCGGGTATTTCTGTATGTCTCCTAGGGTGTTCCCGAATTTGAAATTGTAAGTGAATGAATTTATTATACAGCCAATTAGGTACACCCACCGTGAGAGAAAAGAGTCTAGATGTGTTGAGTACAAGTTGAAGACATCTTGTGTCTTATATGTAGAGTATTTCGTGTTAAAATATTATGTGTTGAGTACTCTGTTTGCAAGCTACAAACCATATGTACCTTGTGTTCTTATGCGGCAGCCGTTTGAAACTGAAGTCATTGTGTTTTGATAAATGAATATCAGACAATCCGATGGAAACATAGGAATTGTTGTCTGTCTTGTATTATAAAAGTTAGATAATTGTCTGAAATGTTAACACAAAACGTATTTATTGCTAGAATTAACGGAAAAGCTCAGTTATCTGCTGCCCCCCCCCCCCCAGTACTGCCATTCTTAGTATTTGTCGTCAGTTTTATTCTTGTCTTTGAGAGCTCAGTCACTCCTTAGTTTGAGAAGTGAAACCTAGCAGATTAATATGAGTTCGTAGCCTCATTTTCTAACACTGCTGTTTAGAGAAACCTAGTCTGTCGATTTACTTTCTGTAAGTGACGTCGTGGTAACTCACGGTTGGGAGACGCTGGGTGGGAGGGCCCCTGACCTCACTCCACCCACGATTTCCAACCCGCTTACAGAGGTAAGGTCCAGTGCCCGTTCCATCACATTATATTAAATGTTTTTGACTTAGTTATTTGTTGTGTGAATATGCAGTGATCAATTAACATAGTTTTGAAGTGTTTAAGTAGTGTTCAAGCTCCTTCAGCCTATGTTACGGCATTCGTGTTACTCACTAAACCCACGATTTCCATCCCGCTTACAGAGAGGTTTCTGTAGGCCAAGCTGGCCGTGTCGACCCCGGGACGACGTCCACGTCAGTATTTGGAAATGGATGAACGTAAATAAAGTCGGATATCGTCGCCAACACGGTTATGTGGTGAGCCAGTCGGCTACTAATGACGTGCACCAGACGCATCCATCGTCCACCTGTGGTTTACCCAGCGACGTATACAACACCACCAGCTCAGGCAGTGTCACTGTTGGTATGAGTCCACCTCTGAGTAGTACGCGAGTCGTAATTTTTGCCCGTGTTTTCTGGTATGTCATCTTCGATTGGATGAGTGTCTGGGGTTAACATACGGTCTCTCCTCGACTTACGACATATTCGACTTACGACGACCATGGTCGTATAAAATATTTTCCACATTACTTATTTTCGAGTCCCGACGTTAATGATCGCGCTGTGTACTGACAAAATTTTCGTTTGTAATTCCCTTTAAAATGGCTGGCAAGCGTAAAATAAAGAGTTCTCGTGGTGCCAAGAAGAAAAAGACACCCATTTTAGAATTTCTATGTATTATTTTCACCATTTCGACTTACGACCAATTCGACTTACAACCTGGTCGTTGGGTTGGAACCTCATCGTAAGTCGAGGAGAGACTATAGTGTGAAGGCCACCACGTTTTCATGGCTATGTAACAGAGTATCAAAGTAGGTACAGTATTTATTTGGAATACCAGTGCTACGAGTCCTGTTCTAACAACGAGAGCAATCTCTCGGGTTCTCTGTGTTGTTGTTGGATCCCAAGTGTACTTATGTATATTTACAGTGTATATGTTTTCTACAGGTACACCAAGTATGGGTGAGTGTGGAATATGTAATGTACCTTGTTGACAAGTGTCTGAGTATTGCCATGGGGTTGATATTGGCACTAGTGTGTTACTGGAAGTAGTCAGAAGTCTAGCATTATTTTAATAAAGCAGTTTTATTGTATGTTAGGGGTATTATTTTCCTACAGTGGCCACCCTTATTTCTCCCTAAATCTTGGTACCATTATTACTTGTGTCTTACCCTCGAGTCATGCTACCACAGGTCAGATGTTAAGTCAGAGAGTACAGTAATTGTTGAAGTCGTGGAACAGAGAGAGAAAGTATAGTAAAGTATTATAGGAAGTAATCCCCTACAATAGGTGACAGCGGTTGGTCTTTTTTCTCTCGCCCCAACGTACATCAGTTCTCACTATTGATCTTTTTTTTAGTTTAGTATTCATTTATGGTCCTTAATTATTATTTATTATTATTATTATTATTATTTAATATTCTTAAATTTTTTATTAATTATCATTAATATTATTATTATGCCCCCAGGCCCTGATGTGGGTCATTGACCTGTGCCCCGGTGGGCTAATCTCGAAAAAATAAAAACTTTACAAACAATACCTAACTCGTCAAGAATCGAACCCTGGATCTCTGCATGTATATAATTAAATTTTCTGGTCTGTAAAATACACACTAGTCATGCGAAACTGTTACTGAAACCCTCTATCTTTATCTTCTGTCATAATCATAGGTGTGGATTTAAAGGCCGTAGTGCTAGCAGAACTTGAGATTTCAGGGGCAGGGTGTGTAAAGAGCAGGATTTCAAAATCACCTCATCTGGTCTGTAAAAAATTCATTTTTCATGCCATAAAAGAAAATTTATGATGTCCAACAACTTGATTTGAGCTACCAGCTACTTTAGTAACTTAAAAAACATAATTGGAATTTCCCCCCTCAGCATGCATAGTTGAGTGCATGCTGCCTCCCTGACAACTAAACTAGTTTATATGTTGCAAACCCTTCTGTCAAAATTCTTGGTCTAAAGTCACCAATTCTCATTTTTTTAGCTTGGTCCTGCTATCATGATGATTGCAATCTGCAGAGCTTTTCATGGGACATAAGGCTACATGATTCATGCTCTTGGTTTTTGTCATGCCGAGTGTTTACATTTGTCCCAGCCAATGGTTTCAATCAAGTTCTTATTATGAGAGAAATGGTGATGGCAATTCAGCCTCATTGACTTGTTGTGCAAGTGTGAGCATTTATGTGAATAATCTTGTTGAAATTCTGAGTTCGTTCCAATGTAATTGCTAGTCCATTGTTTTCAAATCAACCAGAGCTACAGTCTGATCCTGCTTAAACAGGGCAAGTAAATGTCTATGTGTTATATACCTTTGAACTGCTTCAAATGGACACTGCCCTTGTCTAAAGAATACAATTAGCCACAAGGCATGGGAGGCTCTGCCATGAATTATTTTCATCTGTAATTTTGAGTGTTATAGTTATGTTATATATTCATATTCTGTGTTTAAACAAAATCATGATCATGTACATCACTTGTATGGAAGGATTTAGTGTACATATAACACAGATAAAACATGAGTTCACAGATAAAACATGAGTTTTAAAGACAATTGGTGGAAGAAAAGTTGATTAATTCACAAGGACATCCCAAAACCTATTTCCTATAAGACTGCCTTTTTGGTGCCAAACCTTAAGATTGTGTCAAAAGCACTGATTAAATATTTTACAAAAATAAGTCCTAAGCACCATTTCCAAAAGAAATATATCCTTACCTTTGTTCTTCTCTTCCCATCAAAATCTACAGATGCAATATAAGACAATTTTGCGTCAGCCCAATATATGACTCGCTGATCATAGTCTACAGTTAGACCATTGGGCCAAAATATTTCTTCTTTGACAATTACCAATCTTGTTGAGGAATCTCCATTCATACCTGCCCTCTCAATCTTGGGATTTTCACCCCAGTCTGTCCAAAACATCAATCTGCAAAATAAAAATAAAAATAAAAATTCATAATACAGCCTACTCTGTAAAACTTAAATGATAAATTTTTTTACCTATACCTGTATCTAAGTATAATATAAAACCGTGCTCCTGAACCTGGCCAGAACCACATTATAGAGCCCACAGGGGTTTATTAGAAAATTGTGAAATATAGTGTTCCCTCGTAATTCGAGAAAAAAGAAAAGAAAAAAAGTGCTCTGGGTCACTTGACATACCAAAAAATTCAAATTATCCGTGTTCAGAATATTTTGACATTATTTGACAATTTCCGAATTTTTGTGTTTGATTATTCATTTGTATTCTGTTCCGTTTTTGTGCCTTGCCTTGGCTGCCACTTGAAACAATCTATTTATAATGACTGCAAAAATACTTTCTTAAAAGTACATACAGTAATAATAAAATAAATAATACAGCAATAAATATATGTAACACTGCGAGGTGAGGTGACGAAACGAGAGGTGAAATGACATGAGAAGGCACTTACAGTGCACATACATTAACAGCACAACTAAACCATTGTCTTATAACATGTTATTTTATAATTTCTATTTTAAAGTTAATTGGTACATGATGGCTTGATCTGGCTACTTTTGCACTTAGACAACTGATCAGTGACTAAACCACAGCATATGGAGACACATTATCATTACAATAACATTGGTAAGTTCTGACAAATACACCACAATATTATTTAGTAAGTGCTCAAGACAGATATTGTGGTAAGCACCAACCCTCTAGAGCAGTGACAAAAATGGTGCTCGAGAGATGGCGAGTGCTGGCAACATTGTTACGGAGAGCAGGAACGATCAGCTGTTTCTTGCTCTGTAAACATGACAAAAAAAAGGTACTACAGCGCAATAGCTCATCTGGGACTAAGTGTGGGATTTGGGGGAAATTAATTATTTTTTATAATATTTTACTAACCCGGCACCAAATGAACTTAAATAATATGGGAATTATAGTGAATTGCATACTGCTGCCAAGCTCTTTCAATAAACCGTTAATTATTATTATTATTAAAGGGATGGCAGGCTGCCAAATGGGGGGAGGCGAGTTGCTCTCTCCTCCCTTCCACCTCCACCAACCACCACTTGCCACCTCCTCTCCACTGCTACGCACCCTACGTAGTTTTATACATTATCTTAATATAATTCAGATTCTATTCCTATAATTCAATCATCTTGATCTGTTTCTTGTTGTCAGAGGAAAAGACAGCATAGCGTAAAATAATTCCTGCACAGAGTGCATTTGCTCATGGTTGATGAAAGTTTGCCTTGTTTAGGTCTCTTTTAAGATTGCCTTCAAACTCTATGCGGACTAGCTCAGTGGCAGTCACTTGCCATCTTCTGAATACTGTTCGATTCTGTCAGGCCAATCACTCCACCAAAGCCTTTCAGATGCCCAGTATTCTGCTCCTCCCCTTGATCAAAAATCATGTCAGGCAAGACATTTTTTGTCTTGTGGATGACAAATCTTCCACTATGAAACTCTGCAACCAAAGCAGGATGCTTTACCTGTAGGGAGGACAGATCCCAAATATGAATTGGTAACCACCTTGCATAATGGTTTTGATCTAATGCAAAAAACCATGGGGCAAGCTTGGAAATGGACTCTATATACAAATCAAAGAGACCATATCTCTGTGCCCTCAAAAAAATCAAAATTATCAGTTGTAATTTCCATTTGAGTTCCAGTAGCAGAACCGAGGACATTCTTCACATTTCTTATTTTCCAAGCCATGGGATGTAAGTTCCCTCTCATCATCTGAGATGTTCTCTACATAAGCTTTGTAGACTTGGTGCTTGAGGACAGATAAAGTGGCAGCGGTGACTTGGTGGGCATGTCTTGCTTTGGTTAGGTGGCTGACCTTCAGAAAGTTTCAGCAGTCCCAGAAGTTGCAACTCCTGCTTGTACCAAAGCTTCTGTCCATCCACTTTCTTAAGCCAGGTGCCACCAGCTATGAATGCAGCCATTTCAATATGAAGCCCACCAAGCATGATGAGATACTTTTCTTTCCCAAATTCTTGTGGCCAACACCATTGCACTTGTTTTGCAATAGCTGTTCCACAGTAATTGGGAACCTGGATGTTAATCGATTTGCGGATTGTATTCCGGGGTAATGGTTTAGCCAGTGCAGTTGGTGAGTTGGCCGGTCTTCTTGGACTATTCCTTGACACTGGGTCATGCAGCTCCTTAACTTAGGGTTTGGTTGTTGTGTTGGCGAAAGTTTCTGCACCTTAAACAAATTCGCCTATGTGGCCCTTGGGATGGCCATCCTCGTTACACGAGGAACATCCATTATTAATGACCAGTCTGTCCAGGGTTCAGCTGTAGGGAGCTGAAATTACCTACACAGTTACACGTATATCGAGCAGTGGTCCTCCCCACCCTGCTATATGACAGCGAGACATGGGTCACATCCAGGAGACACATCAAGGCACTTGAAAACTTTCACCAACGTAGTCTACGTTCCATTCTCCGAGTTCGCTAGGAAGATAAGAGAACAAATGCCAGTACTCCTGCTGACACCAACTGTAGAAGCATCGAGGCTACCATTATCCAAGAACAACTACGCTGGACTGGCCATGTTACCCACATGGATGACAGCAGACTGCCAAAGCAGCTACTTTAGTCACCCAACAAATAGTAAACGCAACGCCAGCGAGCAACTGAAAAGGTATAAGGATAGTCTTAAGAAACCTGAAAAAGTGCCAAATCGACCCCCTCACCTGGGAGACGATTACTCCACACAGTATCGCTTGAAGGAGCACCACACGAGAAGGTGTCAATACTTTCGAGTTAACCCGACTGCAAACCGAGGCAGACAAGCACCAAAGCTGGAAAGATGCTGCTGCCGCCCCTCAAGCACTCGATGCAGCCCTCCACATGTGGAACATTTGTGAACAACTCTGCAGGTCCCGTATCGGCCTCTTTAGTCACCTCAAAACTCACCAATCAAGGTGACCCTGGATGATGGTCATACTCGATTCCGAGTGAGAACAAAGTAGTAGTAGCAGTGCGCTGTATGTGACGTCATGGGACGCGACTGGAATGGTGAGTCAGCCACTCCACACACTTTCACTTTCCATAGAAACACCCATGCTTTTCATGTCTTAGTTTAAATTATAATTTATAGTTTTATATTAGTAATATCTTTATTTCTAACCCACAACAGAATATTGTAATGATTTTTCCACAACTTTTATGGCACTACTGTTGACTTTTAGTAGTTGTGGAACATATCCAAGTTTTCACTATACGCGGATTCCCATTATGCCGTGTTGTCGCAGAATGCAATCGTCGCATAAAGCAAGAGTCAAGTGTATATATATTTTTATACAAGAGTTAGCTGGCTCAGTGGGAGAGCGGGAGGATGCAGGACGTGTGGGGGGGGAGCGTTGCTAAGGAATCGGCAGAGGTAGCATCTCCGTTGTTATGGTGAACCAGGGAGTGTATGCAAGTGGGGACTGTGTTAAACTTTCATTTGGCTTTTATTTACGGGTTTGGCAATACATGGCTACAAGAGGAAAATCTACACCAAAGATTTTTTTTCTAAATACTCCGTGCTAAAATGGGGTGCATCTTATTTGGCCGTGTGTCTTATATGCCCTAAAATACAGGAGGTATTTCTATGCGGCTAACCCACCAAAAAACAATAACACACACACACACACTGAAGAGTCAAGACATGTCTGGTGCTGCTCTGGTGGCTGCCAGTTCAACTGTTATGTTGGCACATACCCCAACTCACTCCCCTGAACCTCTCCTCCCTACCAGAATATCAGCAAATTCTCGCCAATACAGTATTACCCCGCTTTACACGGTTTCACTTTCCGCGGTACCTTGCCAGAACCGGACTTTCACTTTTCCCGGTGCATCTACTCATATACGCGGTGAAGTAAATTTTTTTTTTTTATTTAGCTCATAAAATTCATACAAATTACCCGGCCAGAATATAATTTACATTGCTAAAATTCTTGAAATATGATGATCATTTTGAATATAAACATCATGGATTTTGCATTAAACATACAAATTTTAAATCTAATGTAATAATTTGGTTTACACAAAGCAAATATTTTATCTTTTGTGCAAAATATATGAAGTTTACATTCAAAATATTCCCTGACCTGCAAGGAATCCAGAAATATCAATTATATTATCGTAACTTTAGTCCAAGGTATTATTTATTACTAAACGTTAAAATCTAGTGTTTTCACCCAATCATTTCTCAGAGAGGTAGGAGCTAGTGAGCTGGGAAGAGGGGGGGGGGGATTTGAGTCCATTATTTGAATGGACATTAACCTGGTGACTGTATTTCCCTTAAATATTAATTGTGTGAGCATACCATCATAAAATTTAGATGTTATTTTTACTACAACATCGGTATTGTGTAGGAAAAAGTGGAGTTTGGGGGTCGGGCCAGTCTCTATTGGAATTAATCCCATATGTTCTGTAGTTCACTTTACGCGGTTTTCACTTTCCGCGGTACCCTGTGGGTTCAATTGACAGCGTAAATCGGGGTACTACTGTAGTCACAATTTCATTTTGGAAAAGCCGGTGGAAGTTGTTTGGACTTACTTCCTAGCCCCCCATTAGTTCCTGTTCACCTAGCAGTAAAGTAGGTACCTGTTGTAAGTCGAAAGTTGCGAATTCGTATTCAGAGAAAGTTGTTGGAGCTCCCAATAACTTGATGACAAACCACTGACTCTTCAGGCTTCTACGCCCTTGACTCTTCAGGCTTCTATGCCCTTAACTCATGAGACATAAAGGCAAGCATGAACTTAGCATGCTTCCCTGTTGGGCACTGTAAACGCTTCTGCGCTTCACCTTACACAGGGATGTAGGGGAGTGCCCAATAAAAAAAAAAAAAATGGAAAAGAATGAAACCAGTGTTGAACAGTGCTTAAGCCAGTGAAAACAACGCAACAGTAACAGCCGAGAGTCGTACCCAAGCTAACCTTCACACAGTGAGATCCCAGGTACTCAGTGATAACTGCCCCTGAGACTCAACAATACCAGCTATGTGTTAATATTCCACAATAGGGAGGCCTGGGACCACACCTCACTCACTTGAGTGAGTAACGCCCTGTGACACCAGACCACGTGGTGTCCCCATGATGCTACAACACCACGTAGTGAATGAGTTGCAACAGCAACACATCAGGCCCCTCATAACACCACCTATGAGGGAGTTACTGCACCATGTGAGGTCCCTCATAACACCACCTAAAAGGGAGTTACTACACCATGTGAGGCCCCTCATAACACCACCTATGAGGGAGTTACTACACCATGTGAGGTCCCTCATAACACCACCTATGAGGGAGTTACTACACCATGTGAGGTCCCTCATAACACCATCTACGAGGGAGTTACTACACCATGTGAGGCCCCTCATAACACCATCTGTGAGGGAGTTACTACACCATGTGAGGCCCCTCATAACACCATCTGTGAGGGAGTTACTACACCTTGTGAGGTCCCTCATAACACCATCTGTGAGGGAGTTACTGCACTATGTGAGGCCCCTCATAACACCATCAGTGAGGAAATTACTGCACCATGTGAGGTCCCTCATAACACCATCTGTGAGGGAGTTACTGCACTATGTGAGGCCCCTCATAACACCATCAGTGAGGAAATTACTGCACCATGTGAGGTCCCTCATAACACCATCTGTGAAGGAGTTACACACCATGTGAGTCCCCATAACACCATCTGTGAGGGAGTTACTACACCATGTGAGGTCCCTCATAACACCGTCTATAGGAGTTACACACCATGTGAGGTCCCTCATAACACCATTTGTGAGGGAGTTACTACACCATGTGAGGCCCCTCATAACACCATCTGTGAGGGAGTTACTACACCATGTGAGGCCCCTCATAACACCATTTGTGAGGGAGTTACTACACCATGTGAGGCCCTCATAACACCATCTGTGAGGGAGTTACTACACCATGTGAGGCCCCTCATAACACCTTCTGTGAGGGAGTTACTACACCATGTGAGGCCCCTCATAACACCATCTGTGAGGGAGTTACTACACCATGTGAGGTCCCTCATAACACCATCTGTGAGGGAGTTACTACACCATGTGAGGCCCCTCATAATACCATCTGTGAGGGAGTTACTACACCATGTGAGGCCCCTCATAACACCATCTGTGAGGGAGTTACTACACCATGTGAGGCCCCTCATAACACCATCTGTGAGGGAGTTACTACACCATGTGTTTGCTGTTCAACACCTCAGCGCACATGATCTACCTGACCGTGACCTCCATTGTTAACATTAAAATGTGTGTTCACTGTATGTTCCCTTACCTTTCTCAAATGAAAGCTTTTGTTAAATCACACACGCACACATGCACCATGCATGCGCGCGCGTACACACGCACACACACACACACACACACACACACAAAAATTGGAAAATAAGACAGCAGGCATCCACAGATCCAGAGTGATATTCTTATTGCGTGACTGCGTGGTGGTGAGTTAAAGATCAGTTGTTTAGGAGCACTTGTCAACACTGGTGCATGTTACAACTCCTTTCCATGCCATCTCTCTAATCACCCACACCTTTCTACTATCTCACTCCACATTTTAAATAGAAATGCTTTTGCAGACTCCAGTAGTTTAGACTCTTGAAAAACATCCCCAGCACCCAGAAACATTATGGGGATGTGGGCTAATGTCTGTCTGTGGAAGATGCATAGTTTAGACACTTTTCCCAGTAACCGGAAACGATTCCTGGGATAGGGAATTTTTCCGGGTTTGAGAAAGTCGTCTGGTTACCTGGAAATCTCTCATCCCTGAAGTGCTCTGCACCAATTGTTCTAGCTAATGGGGATATCACTGTATGTATAAAGTACATAACATAAATTTTGGATGTTAAAACTTATTAACTTACCCTTCAGATGGAACTAGAGCAATAGCTCTGGGTTGATCAAGGTCCTGCCAGAATAGAACACGTCGGTGCTTACTATACAGCTCTGCAACTTCAATTTTGTTGGTGTCTGAGTCAGTCCAATACAGCTTCTCACCCAGCCAGTCAACTGCCAAGCCATCAGGTGATAAAATACCTCTTGATATCACTGTCACCTAAAAATGAAGAACTGATATAGAAAATCCAATCTCATAAGCAAGGAGAAGCAATTGACCTATATGAACCACACAAATAAATAACCCACTGGAGAACCCTTCTTTAATCTTTAGACTGGCTTAGTCATGGAACCTGGTAGGGTCCCGTGTGCACTGAGATCTTCTTTAAGGTTGGTTTGGACATAAAAAAAAACTTGGTCACATGCTTCACATCTGGTCTGTTTTCCACTATGTATTTTGAAATCAAATATGGCCACCTACAAAAAAAATCTACAAATTGCCTGAATATAATAAATTTGCATATCATTTTGAAGGTCTTGGTCAGGAGAACATGTAATATGACATTATGAATTGAATTCCCATCAAAATTGGCTAAATACGTATATGAAAATATGCAAAAAACATAAAACATTTATTTCTTAAAGTATTATTGTATGTGTATAAGCAAATGAAACATATATAGAATCTTGATAAATCATGAAAAACCCATTGCTAAGTGAAATAACGGAGATAGGTAGTAGGCAGCTATCAAACAGGGAGGTATTGGAAGCATAATATGTTGTCTAATGGGAGACTCTGCTGTCATTTGGCATCACAAAAATTGTGACCAAGTCCTACGTTGCTGGTCTGACTTTCTGCCTCATTTACACACAATTGTAGGGTCTCAATTGTTTCTCTTACTATTGACAACACAACATACATATGAGGCGCTCCAAGTCAGAAGGAGGTGGAAGTGATACTCCGGCCAAAATGTGTTTTTTGATGGACATCACTATTTTCACCCTTCATCTACAAGTTGGCGTTGAATGTAACCCTTAAGCTAGAATAGCAAGTCCTTCAAAAATAAGGTGTGATTTCGCCTCAGGCCTGGAGCTACGTATCTGGCTGTGCTCTCAGTTCCAAAAAGTGGCAACATCCCGTTCAGAGCAAGAGGAGCGCGGGCCAATGGCAGCGCGCCTCCCTCGGACCATACCCCCCTGAGGCAGCCAATCGCAATGGATTTCCCCTTGCTACGTCACAGCTCCTCGGCCAATTCATGCGCCCAGATGCTGCTGCCTCCTTAGTTCTGACGCATATTTTAGCATCAGGAGGTTCAGAGTACGTTCTGCTGCGTACCCCCCAAGGCCCTATAGAAAAAAAAAGCAGGATGAGAGAGTGTAGGGTTGATGAGTGGGCAAAGGAGGTTGCCAAGCGTAAACAGAATTTGGGTGAGGAGTAAGTAAGTTACAGCACCAAGAAAGTAGTCAAGGCGAGGCAGGTCGGCCCTCCCTGCCCAGACGGCTGCTTCGACAAGCTTGACAGGGATAACACCGATACCATTTTCACCAATTTCTGGGCAATTGTTGACTATAGCAAACAAAATGGCTGCCTGCAAACACCCATGAAGAGAAAGCAGACTGAAGCTGAAGTGAGCCATAGGCTTTTTAACTACTATTTTTTTGTGAAGCTTTGGCAACACGAGTTTAAGGTCTGCCGCCAAGGTTTCGCTTTTATTCACGAGCTTGGCAAGAAGAAGATGGAGGTCCTGATGCATACGAGGAAGGAATCAACCAAGTGGAATGCCCATCTCTGACAAGCGAGGACATCATCCATCCACCAGGGCCATCACAGGGAGCCGCCTGCAACACGTGTACAAGCACCTTCGTGCCCTGCCAGTGCTCGCTAGCCATTACAGCCATGCACACATCTCTCACAGGCGGTACCTGGAGGCCGGGGGCAGTATCACCGAACTCCTCAGCATCTACCTGGTGTGGATGAGCAAACATTATCCTGATGAAGAAACTGTCTCCGAGAGTTTTAACCACACTGTTCACGAGGCACTACAACATCGTGTTCCGTGCTCCTCTCACCGACGTCTGCAACACCTGTGAGAAGCTGGAGACCCAGATCTCTTCCCTCCAGAAGGATGGTCAGGACACCAGCGACGTGAGGAACACCCTGAGGGAGCACAAGGCCATCGCACAGGTGCCTCGGGCCTTCTTCACCAGGTGGAACAGGGTGGCCCTGGGAATGGTGATGTCAAGACGGTGGCCATCAACCTGCAGCAGACCCTTCCTTGCATGATTTAGTTGATGAAGAATCTGCGTGGCAATTTTTAGAGTGGGCAGAGAAATACTTTGATCAGTAAATGATTGATTATGCCAAGGCCATTAAAGTTATACGCACTCCTCAGGATTTACGTAACTTCAAGTTGTCACGATCTTCAGGGATAATAAAACGAAGGAACTAAACAAAGTAAGATTGTAATACTATGGTCATAATACTGTTTTTACCAAAGATTATGCAAACTTTCTCAGCCTTTGTATTTGTATGTTAATTACATTGGGGGGAGGTTAATGGTGGGGGCATGAGTGTAATGGTGTTTCCTTATTATTACACACTATTATACTTAACAATGGTATAAATCTTTGGCTAATAATAGAGACGGAAAGATAAATACTAAAAGGCAAATGAGTTTTATATTATTATTTCATTTTTGGGGGGTTGGGGGGGGGGTTTATGTGGAGGGGGATGTAAAACGAGTGTTGTTTTTGGTGATCATTATCTTGCTTTACAGTATTAGTCCACAATAATAAGAAAATTTTGCAGAAAAACGCAATTATTATTGGTTTGAAGATCAAACAACTGTACATCACGGGTAGTTATTCTCATTCAACTGGTGATAAAATACAGGTACTCCTCGACTTACGACCACCCGGACATACGACCGCTGCAGTCGTATAAAATATTTTTCAAATTATGTATTTTCGAGTCCCGACGTTAGTGATCGCGCTGTGTACTGACAAAATTTTTTTTTGCAATTCCCTTTAAAATGACTGGCAAGCGTAAAAGTGAAAGTTCTCGTGGTGCTGAGAAGAAAAAGAGACACCCATTTTAGATTTTCTGTGTATTATTTTTGCCTTTTCGACTTATGACCAATTCGACTTACGACCTGGTCGTCGGTCCGGAACCCCGTCATAAGTCGAGGAGAGACTGCAATAACTATTCACAGTACTAACTTCCAGTTTTCACGGATCGCTAGGAAAGTGATTGAGCTGCACGAAAAAAAAATTAACCCTCTAGCTTAAAAAACAACAAAGTTATGATTGTTTGAACTTCGAAAAACTTTTAAACACGTTTTTCTAAGCGTTTTAAATTTAGCACTTCACCCCCTTCTGACGCAGAGCGCCTCATATATTGTTTCTCACTATTGATATTTGTTTTTATTTTGCTGTGTGTGTGTGTGTGTGCCTATACAGAGTACAACATTTAACCCTTCAATAAATAAGAACAGTAAATAAGTGTTGCTTTCATATTCTTATGTAGAGTAATGACAATATGTTTTCACATGTGCGCACTTACATACGCGATCTCACTTTTTTTCTTTACCATTAATGGTTAGCTACTTATATTGTTCCATTTATTAACATTAAATAACATTACTTCAAACAACCATATTAATTTTTACATTAATTTTACTACAGCTAAAACCAGGGTCTTATTTTCTTGTTTTATATGTAGAACCAATCAGTCACTGGTTTTGTAAGCAATAACGAAAACAATGCCGGCAGCTGTCTCGTCTCCTCGTGTGTTTTAATATTCCACGAATTATTAATGAATTGTATCGTTCATTTTGCACACACAAACATTAATTCTAAAAAAAAATCAGAAACATTAATTAAAACATATATGAACAGTAAATAAGTGTTGCTTTCATATTCTTATGTGGAGTAATGACGATATGTTTTTCACATGTGCACACTTACATACGCACAGTCTCACTTTTTTCTTTAACATAAATGGTTTGCTACTTTTATTGTTCCATTTATTAACATTAGATAACATTACTTAAAACAGCCATATTAATTTTTTACATTAATTTTACTACAGCTAAAACCAGGGTCTTATTTTCTTGTTTTATATGTAGAACCAATCAGTCACTGGTTTTGTAATCAACGAAAACAATGCTGTCTCATTTCCTTGTGTGTTTTAATATTCTACGTATTATTAATGAATTGTATTGCTCATTTTGCACACAAACATTAATTCAATAAAAATGACATTCAGTAATAAACAATAATGAATCTTTTGAACATAAGAGAAATGACACTGTTTACATGATTGTGCACGTCGTCTGAACGTTGGCGGGCCGTTCAAACCTGTCGAAATTCGAGTTTCTCCCGTCAAAAATTTAATATTTATGTAGTGTTTTTCGTGTCCAAATAAAAAACGTTGAATTAAAAACTTGCGAAATTTGAGAAGCTACTGAACGACATTTAACCCTTCAATATGTCTTCAAAGAGACCACGGAGCAGTGAAAGTGGTGCCAATGTAAGCGCAAGTCACTATCTGTCTAGGAAAAGGGTGAATTTCCATGGTCCGGCACCGGTCAGGTCCCGAGGTTTCCGGACTAGAGAGGTACAACCTGTACAACTAAACAAATAATGTAATTGAAATACTGTGTAACATTCAGTGCCATAATATCCTGACCATGGGAGTAGGCTATACTGACCCTTTGTGAACTCTACTCTGTAATCCTTATGTGCTACCGCTCACAGGATGAGTAAAGGGTGCAGAATAAACTAGCCGCTGTAAGCGGCAAAATCAATCACACACACACACACACACACACATCCTTGACCACCGAAGGGTCAAGACGTACCTGGTGCTCCTCTGGCAGCAGCCAGGTCAACTGTTAAGTTGTCCCATACCAACTCCCTCCCCTGAACCTCTCCTCCCCACCGGAACATCAACAAGTTCTGGCCAGAAATTACTACCCCTGTATTTCATTTAGGAAAAGAATGGAACCAGTGTTGAACAATGCTTAAGTCAGTGAAAAACAACTCAACAGTAACAGCCGAGTCGTACCCAAGCTAACCTTCACACAGTGAGGTTCCAGGTATCCAGTGATAACTGCCCCTGAGACTCAACAATACCAGCTATGTGTTAATATTCCACAATAGGGAGGCCTGGGACCACACCTCACTCACTTGAGTGACTGACGCCCTGTGAAACCAGAC